AAATTGTCGTCTTTTGTTTTTACAACAATTCACTTTTGGGCAGTTCAAATTGTTAAGTTTTCCCCTTGTACTCCAAGAATCCAATGGATTTGTGATCTAAGGGCTGTGGAGGCTATAATCCAAAAAGGCAGGGCTGCCAATCTAGTGTATCTCTCATATTTACACCTTCCCAATACCTCTCTCCTCCCCATGAAGCCCTCCCTTGCAATACAGAAAAACAGTAGGCAAAATCAATTGATGCAGCAACCATATGTGTATGCAATGTATGCAACCTCCTGATCCCATACACACCATCTCTTTACTCAGAGGAAGGATTTTCATTATCTGTCCCCTGGATCCAAGCCTGATCGCAGCATTTAAGCTAAATCCTCTTGTCTTTTAGTATGGCTTTCATTTACATTATTGTGGTCATTATGTATACTGTTCTGATTCTGCTTTCTTTCTTCTACATCAATTCATACAAGTCTTTCCATGTTTCTCAAACTCATATTCAGAGTTTCTTAGAGCATAATAATATTCCATTACATACTGACTCTGAAAACTGGGTTACTGGTACTTTCTTAACCGTCAAGTCCTATGGCCTTTTCTTCATCCTCATTCTGCTTGAACCCTTAACAAAACTTGACATTGTCAATTGTCCTTTATTCCTGCACAATCTTTCCTCCCTTGGATTTCAAGATAGTGCTCTTTCTTGCTACTCCTCCTGACCATCTGATCACTCTTTTTCAATCTCACTTACTATATCATCACCTTTTTCTCATCCACACAGTGTGGCCACCTCCCTTGCTTCCCCCCAAGACCCTATCCTAGACCCCCTTCTCTTCTTTCTCTACACTGTTTCTCTGGGTGATCTCATTAGCTCCCACGGGTTCAAATTTAATCTTTATGCAGATGACTCCCAAATTTATACATCTAGCTCTCATCCCTTTCCTGAGTTACAGTTATGAATCACCAAATGCCTGATGAGCGTCTGTCTCCACTGGATTGTCTTTAGACATCTCAAACTCAACACGTCTACATAGTACTCATCTTCTCTCTCAAAACCTACCCTTCTTCCTAAATTCTCTGTTGCTATCCAGGGTACCACCATCCTTCCTGGGCACTCATGCTGGCAAACCTTGGAGTCACCCTCAACTCTTCCCTCTCCCCACCTACCATATCCAATCAGCTGGCAAGTCTTACCGATTCTACCTTCACAACACTCTTACATGTCCCCTTTCTCACCATTTAGTTCAAGTTCTCATCATCTCTTTCAATAACTTCATAATTGGTATGTGTGTTTCTAATATTTTACCTCTCATCCATCCTCCATGCAATTGCCAGACTGATATTCCTAAAGCATAGGTCTGGCTTGGTTATTTCAGTCAATAAACACTTATTAAGTGCTACCATGAACTAGTATTGTGCTAAGCCCTTCACTGCTCAGAAGCTCTCATATCTCCCTGTTGCCTTCGAGACAAGATACAAACCCTTTTGCCATTTAAAGCTTAACATATTCTGGCTCTAGCCTCTCTTTCCAGACTGATTTCATACCACACTCTGTGTTCTAACCAAAGTGACCTACTTCCTGTTCTCCATCTATAACACCACAAAAATGGTTCCCTATGTCGAGAATATACTCCCTCCTCAACTATTTCTTAGAATTCTTAGCCTCTTTCAAAGCAGTATAGTGTTCGATACTGTCAACCACTCATTCCTTTTCAGTTCTCCCTGGGTTTTCCTCATTGCTGTCTCCTGGTTTTCCTCTGGCCTGATGGCTTATTCTCAGGCTCCTTTGCTGAATCATCATCTGTCCCACCCACTGTTTGTGAGGGTAACCCTGGAACTCAGTCCCTCCATGCCTCTCCTACCTCATCTCTGCTTCATGGACTCTCTAGCTCCCTTCAAGGGTTGGCTTCAATGGCCCCTCCTTCAAGAAGCCTTTCCAGATAATGCAAAAATAAAAGTAACATGAAGTCCAAAGTTTTGTGGGTAATCTGTCACAAAAGTGCTGTTTTCACACATCACCCTCCCCCAAGTCACAGAGGATAAGATGAAAACTGGACTTCAGAGAAAAATGTGCCACAAAAACATCACAAATTTGAAGTGCACACCAAAAAATAACCAAATACCCTGCACTTTCCTCTGAGTTCTATGACATGAAGGCAAATAGCCATCTCCCCAGACCCTGGAAAGAAAGGCATTTGGGGGGATGGGGAAGCTGTCATAAATCACAGCTCACAAGGAGAGCCCTGGAGACTCCAGGAACTTGCTGCTCTCTCCTGTCACTGACAGCTGTCCCCTCCATCTCCTCGCCCCACCCCCTCAAGAACCCTCAGCGCCAGCAGAGCCCTGAGGGCCCAGCAGAGAAGTCCAGGGACCACGCAGCAGCTGCTTTTCTTTATGGGGGATTATTATGCTCTGCTGCCACTTCCATATGGATGGCTGGAGAGGATTTGGGAGAGAAGAAAGGAAAGAAAGAGGGGAGAGGATGGTTTTCCAACAATCCTACATTAAAGCTGCTCCCTGCCCATCTGCAGGAGGTCAAACCCACAGGAATCAGGACTTTTTTGAGAGTGAAAAGACGACTAGGAATTAGAGAACACCTAATTCTGGGTGATATAGTGACAACAGTGCCCAGGGAGGAAACTCCTTGTACCAGTGCTCAATGATGTGTTGGAGCCAGCTGACAATGGGCTGGAGAGAGGTGATTGTTAAATTTTCGGTATGAGCATTCATATCTTGGAAATTAACATATGCTACAAATCAGGGTGAGATTTAATTTTGCTGATTGATCAGACTTAATAAAGTGATAGAGAAAATGCTAATAATGCAGGTTAAACTTAAAGGTGTGTGGCTTAGGTACATTTTCCCCTCTTCCCCCAGAAGGGCAGTTGTTAAACATTTGCCAGCACTTCCTGGACTGATCCCATTGACTGTAACTTCTTGGTGGTGGGGATTGTAACTTTTGGTGCAGTCTGATGTAGTGGAAAGAACACTAGGTTTTGACCCAAAAGATCTGACTTTAAATCAGGTAGGTCTGTGTAGCTGTGGGTAAACCACTTTCTCTCTGTGAGCCTCAGTTTCCCCATCTGTAAAATAGAGATGAGAAGACTAGCAGTATCTATCAGATAATTAAGAAGAGCTGGTTCTAGTGACTCCTGTGTGACACAGTGAAGACAGTGCCCAGAGACAACACTATCAATTGCAAAATAGTTGCACATGAACATTGGTACAAGGAGTTTCCTTATACCAATCAAATCACCGGTCAGGAGCAAATTTTAAAAATTAGGGATAATAACATTTTGCACCATCTATATGGTAACTGGTGAGGAAAATAGTTTTATAAATGTCAGTTATGCTCTAATTTCTAGTCATCTTTCCAGTCTCAGCTAGAGTTTTACGTTCTTCCTTAAAGCTTTCCTAATTGGCCAGCTCCCATGAAAACCTCCTTCACGCTCCCAGGGCCCTTGTTTTCTGAATTCATTTGATATTTACCATATGCCTTTACATTTGTGCCTGTCTTTCCCCTCCTTTTAGAATGTTAGCTCCTTGAGTGCAAGACTGTCTTAGATTTGCCATTATGCTTCAGCGGCCTTCTCCCTTTGTCCCTCCAGCTGCCTTTTTTCCCCCACTGGTGAGTTTCTCCCTTTAAGGAAGGGTCTAGACCACTCATGCTGTATTCTCTGGATTTTGCCGTTTTGCCTTGAAAGTACCTTCTCTCCCTTTCTGGTTCCATTTTTATGTATTGTCCTCATCCATCTAAATGTAATAGCCTTTAATTGAGGGAATTGTGTTTCTTTATGTTTGTAAGTTACATCATCTGTGTTTAGCACCGAGCCTAGCATATAAGTGATTAATAAATACTTGTTGATTTTTACTTAATGATTTCTCCTCACGCTCATTCAAACACCAGCCCCCCCCCCCCCCGGCTTTTAACACAGACATTTTAACACAGCAGATGCTCAATAAATATACTTCAGTATGTCTTTGGCGATCCCATCAGTGCGGGTACTCCCTCCCCTCCACCAGAATATATTTCATCTTTTACCACTTTTCTACTTTTTTTTTTTAAATAAAGAGGGGCGTGCCCAAAGGGTTCAAGGCCTTGCTTTGGCTTTTTCCAGAAGCAACCCAGGTTTCCTGCCTGGAGCCTTTTGCTGGGCAGCACACACCCTTACGTATACTTGGTGGATGGCAGGGCACCACTGGGTAAACATTGCTTGACTAATTGATGATCGTCTTTATCCTTCCAGCAAAGAAGCCCTGGAAGCTCAGAGGCAGGCAGGTTTCCTCGCTCCGAGACCTGGAAGGCCCCAGTGGGTGGGCAGTTCCACCTGCCGCAGGTTCCCCGCAAACGGCCTGGGGAGTGACAGACCCCGCCCTGCTTCCCAGGCAATCAGGGAGTGCTGCTTTCCGGGTTTATCAGCGGGTGTAACTCCTTGGGGGATGCTGGAGTCTCAGCGCCTGGGAAGGCCCAGGACTGGGTGATGGGGGGCCAGCAGGGAGGGCGAGGACGAGGACCAAGAACGGTTAAGGATCTTTTAGAGGAAGCACCGAGAGTCAGGGTGCGGGGTTTGTGCTGCGTCCAGTCCGCACCGACCCTGCTCGGGAGCTGGGGAGGCGGAGAGCCCTCTGGCTCTAGCTGGCTATTGGAGGGAGAGGGAGAGAGAGGGAGAGAGAGAGAGGAGGCTAGAGGGAGGGGGGACCGGGAAGGAAGAGGGGAGGGGAAGGGGACAGTAATGGACAGGGAAAAGCGAGGCCAGGATAAAGAGGGAAGGAGGCGGGGCTGGGCTGCTGGAGATGGGGCAAAGGGGGCAAGGGGCAGCGGCTGGCGGAGGGCAGGGCAGTACTCGCGGCCCCAGGCGAGAGGAGCGGGCAGGGGGCGGGGCCCCAGGTGAGGCAGCAGTGGGCGGCTCTGGGCCCGACTCCCCGCCCCCTCCTCTCCGTTTCCCCCCTCTCCCCTCCTCTGCCCCCTCCCCTTCCCCTCCTCCTCCCTCCGCTGTCGCCAGCCGGGCCCGGCCCAGCCCCACCTCCCAGCTCAGTCCCAGGAGGGCTGAGTTGCGGTGGTGGCGCGGCGGCGGACAGCCCTGTCTGGGGCTCCAGGATTAGCTTCAGCCTCCCTTCACCTCCACCCCCACATCCTCTCCATCCCCCTGCCCCCGGCTCCATCTTGCCTGGGCTGCAGCCTCTCGGGCACCTGTGGAGGAGCCACCGTCTCCGCCTCCCCGCCGGCTGCGAGGTAAGAGGCGAGAGGAGCGAAGGGGAGGAAAGGGACGGCTTCGGCTTCTCTGAGCCGAGCCGGTGGGGATCGGGGGGCCCTGGGGCTTAGGTGGGATACCTGAGGGTCCTGGATTCCCGGTCCCCAGCTCCCCGTCCATATCTCCGCGTCCCCGCCCTTGGCCCCGCGTTGGGGAGAAGAGGGATGCTGTGGCCGGCTCTGATACTGGCCCCTGACCCGGGTGGGGCGGGGGGTGGCGGGGGGGTGGAGATCAAGAGAAGAGATTGCAACCCCCCATCCCAGCCCGCCGCTGCAGCCCAGCCCTGCCCCACCCCTTGGGGTCAGAATTTAGATTTAGGGGCGCGGGAGGGTGGATGGTTGGAGAAGTTCTAGGTTTCCTCTCCTTTCCTCCTTTCTCCTTCCCCCCTCCCCCCGCCGGCTAAGAAAGGAGGGATGTGCTGTGTGTGCTCAGCATGGGCTGGGAGGAGAGCGTGTGTGCTGGAGTAACATCCGGGGGTGACCCCCTTGCCCAGAGCGGCGTTTCTCTGAGGCCTTGAAAGAACCAAGTCTCTAGAGACCCGCGATGTGCCTGGATTGTAGATGTGCGGGTGCTTGTGTGTATGTGCACGTGCGTGTGGTGTTGTGTACAATATGTTTACATGCGTTTGCACATTGTGTGTAAAAGTGTGTGTCCCGATTCCTGTAGGTCTGGGTGCACACCTGCCTGCGTGACCTCCTGCAGATGGGCAGGGAGCGGCTTTGATGTAGGATTGTTGGAAAACCATCCTCTCCCCTCTTTCTTTCCTTTCTTCTCTCCCAAATCCTCTCCAGCCATCCATATGGAAGTGGCAGCAGAGCATAATAATCCCCCATAAAGAAAAGCAGCTGCTGCGTGGTCCCTGGACTTCTCTGCTGGGCCCTCAGGGCTCTGCTGGCGCTGAGGGTTCTTGAGGGGGTGGGGCGAGGAGATGGAGGGGACAGCTGTCAGTGACAGGAGAGAGCAGCAAGTTCCTGGAGTCTCCAGGGCTCTCCTTGTGAGCTGTGATTTATGACAGCTTCCCCATCCCCCCAAATGCCTTTCTTTCCAGGGTCTGGGGAGATGGCTACTTGCCTTCATATTGTAGAACTCAGAGGAAAGTGCCATTGCAGGGTATTTGTTTGTATTTTTTGGTGTGCACTTCAAATTTGTGCTCTGCCCTGCATTTGTGATGTTTTTGTGGCACATTTTTCTCTGAAGTCCAGTTTTCATCTTATCCTCTGTGACTTGGGGGGAGGGTGATGTGTGAAAACAGCACTTTTGTGACAGATTACCCACAAAACTTTGGACTTCATGTTACTTTTGTTTTTGCAGTATCCTGAGTCTGGGCACATCTGATGTGAGGTCATGAACCCCGTCCTTGGTTTCATGAATTACATTTTGGGGTCCATGAAAGTGTCCTTGGTGCATTATGATTTCCTAGGTCTTATCTTTCCCCTTGCAGATTGGTACCTGGTGGGTACAAGGTAGAGATAATGATTGCTACAGTCTAGAGGGGATCAGAGGTATATGTATATTATGTATATATTTGGTCAGTGGAAGGGAATCAGGCTGAAAGCAGAGTTTCTTCTCCTGAAATAATTTGTGGAGATCAGAAAGTGCCCCTGCCCCTAATTTTCTCCCCACTAATGCCTCAAAGGCCATCCACCATTACAGATTCACTCCCTTGGGTCTTTGAAATTTCTGCTCAAACAAATCCAAACCGTGATAGCTGAGCAAAGCCCTGAGCAATGGGCCAAGAGATCAGCCAATTTGTAGGACAGAGCCCTGGACTTGGAATTGGAAGGCCTGGGTTCTAGTCCCCGCTCTGCCATTGTGTGATGAAGGGGCTAAAGCCATTAAGTAGGACTATGGGATTTAGATCTGCAAAGGATCTTAAAGTTCATCTAATCCAATTTTCTTGTAGTTCAGATGAAGAAATGGAGGCCTAGAGAAGTACATTGACTTGCCCAATGTCACATACATAGGAAAAACAGGAATTAGACCCAGATCTTCTGATTTTCAATCCAGTGATATTTCCACTACACAGGAAACAAAGATTAGGGAGGAATGGGTATAGGATTTAGATGTTGGCTACTTCTAAGATCCCTTCCAGCACTAACATTCTCTGACATTTTCCATGGAAAATTCTAAAAGAGACAAGACAGGTAGAACAGCACAAAAAGCAAACTGCAGGATCTCTTGGTTCTGTTGACAGGCCTCCTTGCTGGGACACACACACACTCTCACACACACACACACACACACACACACACTCTCTCTCTCTCTCTCTCTCTCTCTCTCTCTCTCTCTCTCTCTCTCTCTCTCTCTCTCTCTCCCTCCCTCTCTCTCTCTCCCTCCCTGTGCCCCCGGCACATCCAGATGTACACATGTCACAGCCTGAAAAGGATTGGGAAAGAACTTTGCCAACTTGACAATGTATTGTCAGAGACTATCAGTATAACATCAGTATATAAATAGGATTTCCTCCCCTAAGATAAAAATTGAAATCTAATTTTTAAAAGACTAGTTTTGTGGCAATTTAGGGGAAAGAAATATGGCCATTAAGTTATTTAATTTAGGGCTTAATTTGGCCTTAGCTAAGGTAAGGTAAATGGATACAATTAGGTGTCTATTTGAAATGACCAGGTGGGTCGAGGCTCTGCTAAAGTAATGAGATCAGGTGTTACCTGGCTGGCATGCATATGACTGCAACTCAGCAGAGATTTCATTCTTCCCCACCTGAGTGATCAGTACAGGGATTTTTTTCTTTCTTTCTGTTACTCCTAGGGGCTGGGCTTTAATATTGGCTTTTGTTTGTTTTGATTTTTAAAGAAAGGCACAGTTTGTACAGCAGGGTCAGAGGACAGAGCAGGAAAGCCCAAGAGTGCAGGCCTTGGGAAAATTGTGAACTCGGTCTGTCTTTAGCACCCTCTGCCTGACCCCGCCTCCTTTCACTTCCTCCAGTTCCCATGACTCCCCATGGGTGCCTCCCCCGTTCCTAGGGGAAATTGAGCTGATAAACTAATTCACTCTAATCCAGTCCAATCTGGCTAACATTTATGAAGTGCCTACTTTGTGTGAGACTTTGGGTATATGAAGATTGAATTGAAAATAGTCATTGTCGAGGAACTTAACGTATCTAAGATGTTAGCTATTAATATGGTCAGAAGACCCTCTGCCTGTCAAGGCAGCCCCAGTTTTATCTTCAGAACAGCACTAGGAAGAATTTTGTTTCTCCTCCTATCTGGCAAAAATCCCTGTGAAATCATAGGACCATCACTCTGGAACAGAAAGAAACCTCGGAGGTCATCTAGACCTGCTCCATCATGGTGTAGATGAGGAAATTAAGGCCTAGGGAGGTTAACTGATTTCCCCACAGCCACACCAGTGCTCATCCCAAGTGGTGGGATTGGAAACCGGGCTCTAAGAAAGGGAGTGGGGGTGGGGTCTTTCCTCTATACCTTTTCCACCGCTTGTTCCTATATAGCCAATATAGCCAATATTTATGTAGCCTTACTATGCATCAGACACTGTACTGAGTGCTTTACAATTCTGCTTTTGGGGCTAATCAGAACTAGTTTAATTCACAACCACTCTGCAGGCATAAGTTAAAGAAGCCTGTGCCCCTCGAATCTCACGGACTCTTGATGTTTGACTTTTTGTGTTAGAGTAGCTAGGGCTGGCCCTAGTCACCTCTTATAGTATCCCCTCTTTTACATAGCACGGAGGTTTACTTACTCTGTAACAACTCTGTAAGGTAAGTAGGGCAAGAATTGTAATCCCCACTTTAAGGGTGAGGGAACTCAGTGTCAGAGAAATGACTTGTCTAAGAACATACAGCTAGGAAACATTGGCATCAGGACTTGAACCCAGAGCCTTCTGATTTTAAATCCTGTGCTGGCTGGTTCCACTCTTGTCTCCCTAGTGTCTGGGTGGCCAAAACCCCTTAAGAAAGGGAGCATAGGGTTAAGCAAAAGAAAACAGGAAGAAGTCCTTGTTGGCAGAACTCAGATTCAGAGCTGAGATCCCCTTATCTAGGGGATAAGAGTGGTCTTAATTTACCTGAGGACCTTGGGAAATATATTTTTGAAACATAAGTGCTGTGGTCCAGGGGCAGCACTGATCGATTTATTCCCCACCCCACCCCCACCTTCTTTTTTGGCACATTCAGCAAATGACTACTCTATAATGGTGTGGGTCTTTGCCATGCATTCTAATGGGGGTTTTCATTAAGTGAGTTGTTAAAAGCCTTGGAATTCTTCCAGCATCTCATCTTTCTTTTCATTTGGGGAGTGCTAGAATGCTAGGGTGGAGAGTATGGCCTGTGGGGTTTGCAGGCTTTCAGCTTTCTGCTCTGAAATGGGGCAGTTTTCATTTTACACTTGGGTGATATAAATAGAGCTCTGCCCAAGTTATTTTGGGGAGCATTGAAAAAAAAAAAGAGGGCTGACAGCCCTGTCCCTTGGCTGAGACCTTATTCACTTGTCACTTTTATGGCTGGGTGACACATGATGGAAACTGAATGAGAATGGTCTAGGATACTGTATCACCACTGAGCAGGGTCTGTTATTTCTTTTGCTACTTTACCAACAAGATAGATAGGACTCAGCTTCCTTTGAAAAATAAATATGCCTTGAGCCTTTTTACATTCATCAGACAGATTGCTTTGTGGACTTACATTAATAATCTGCCTTGCTGGTCAGGCCACTAGAGCTGAATCTAAGTTAGTGGGTATTGACCTTGGAAACTGAGTTGTGTTAATTGTAAATTAATCTATTCTATTCTTTAAAAAAATGTATATATACATATACACATATAAATATAAGTATATTGTATATGTATATGTATATACACATATATGTACACATGTACCTATAATACATACATATGCACATACATGCCTATAATACACACGCGTATATATCTGTGTACATATGTACACACATACACATATGTACGTGAGTTGGCACACGCACAAAATTGTTAAAATGGGAGAATGCCAAGTAGAAAGTGATCGTGCATTATGGAATGAGGTTGTTACTCTTAGATGGCTTTCGCTGCATTGTCTTCTAGCTGGATCTGGATGGGCAGATGGTTTCCAGGGTAATAGTAATAACTCACACTTATATACCTTTTTTTAAGGTGTATGTGGCACTTTCCTCATGACAAATCTTTAAGGTAAATAGTTAATGTATTATCATCCCCATTTTATAAGTGATTGAGACTGAGATTCAGAGATATAAGTGACTTTCTTATGACGCAGGATTAGAATTCATATTCGATCCTAACTCCAAGCCCACCATTTTTATACAACTTCACACTGTTTAAGCTGCCGTGTTTGATTTGTCCTCATGATGACTAGCGTCTATAGTAGGAGACTAACAAGTAAATTCGTAAATATTACTTGTATTTGTGTTTCTCTTTTCAAGGCTAACTGTTTAGTATCGTCTGTTTTATTATCACTAGTTCCCACCCCATGCCTGAAATTCTCTTTCTCCTCATCTCCATTCCTGACTTCCTTCAAGTCACAGCTAAAATCCTACTTCTTCAAGAAGCCTTTGCTGATTCCCTTTCATGCAAGTGCCTTCTCAGTATATCTCTTGTTTTTATATAGTTGTTTGCCTGTAGTGTCCTTCATTAGACTGTGAAGTCCTCCAGAGCATGGACTGTGTCTTTTGCCCTTCTTTGCATCCTCATTGTTTTGCGCTGTGCCTAGCACATGTTAAGACCTTTACTAAATGCTTGTTGACTAGATTATAGGCGTTGATTAATACGTAAAAATATTTATTGAATCTAGCCCCTCCATGTAAATAGAGGAACTCACTGGGAAAATGTAAATATGCTTTCATTTCCTAGTGTCCAGAATTAAGTCAGAAGATTATTCATTTGACTTTGGGAATTAAAATGTAAACACATTTAATAAATAGGCTGAACATTTTTTTTTTGGTGTAAGATTTCAGCCTTAATAATAAGACTATAGGACTCAGAGCTGGAAGAGACCGTCAAGACCAACCCCTTCATTTTGCAGATGAAGAAACTGAGGCTGAGGGGTGGAGCAATTTGCCTAAGGTTACACAAATAGTACAGCTGGTATTCATGCTCTGGGTTTTTGACTCAGAATCCAGTGAGAGATGTTGCATTCATTTTAAGGGGGGGAGGATGGATAGCACTGAGCCCCACCACCTACAACAGCTGGGAAGAAACAATTCCTGCTGTAGTCTAGGAAATTTTGACAACCCCTGCCTTCCTCCCTCCACTCCTACTTCCCATTTCCACTGTGTGGATGGCTGGCTACCTTTGAATTGTCCATATCTTTGTTTTAAGGACCTCTTCAACTTCTAGATTAGACTTCTGATCACCCCCATTCGCCTTTTCCTATCAGTGACCCACATTGTGCTTAACTTAATCCTCTGGCTCTCAGGTGGCCAGAGGGCCCTGCCTGATAGCTAAAACTCAGGGGTTAATCCGCCCTGAAGTCACAGCAGAAACCAGCAGAGAGGTGGCTGGGTTATTTGGGGGAGGGGTGGTTAAGGGGGAAGAGAGATATGTATTAGAGCTGAATGTATGAGTTTGTGTGTCTTGATACTAGCAGTATAAGGAGAAATGACTTATTTGTTCCTAGGAAATGCTAAGTGTAATTAATTGCCAAAGTAAAAATGGAAGACTTGGCCCATTGAGGAGCATGTTGCCAAAAAGAGCTGGCTCAGCTGAGTGGGCCAGGGAGCCAAAGAAGCTTGGCCCAGAATCCCATTGAAACTGTAGTGCATAGGTGTTGCAGTGGATAGAGCCCAGGACTTGGAGTCAAGAAGACCGAGTTGGAATTCCGGCATCAGGTACGTATTAGTTGTGTGACCCTGGACAAGTCATTTAACCTCTCGTTGCCTCAGTTGCTTCCTTTGTAAAATGGGCTAGGATTAATAAGAACAACTGCCTCACAGGACTGTTGGGAGGATAAAAAGAGCTTTATAAAGCTAGTATTATTATGGGAAGTGTAAGACAGGGTCATGACAGAGAGGAGTTGTAGAAGGGCAGTAGGGTTGAATCCTTTTCCACAAAGGAGTTCTTTATAGCATAACCTCCACTCACACTCCATAATCTTAACCCACAATTCTGAGATGCTGAATCTAGATGTGTTAAGTTGGGAAACAGTAGGAAGAGTTAAGGTGGGGGGCAGCTAGGTGGTGCAGCCAATAGAGCTCTGGCCTTGGAGTCAGGAGGACCTGAGTTCAAATCCAGACACATAACACTGACTAGCTGTGTGACCCTGGGCAAGTCACTTAACCCCAATCGCCTCACCAAAAAAAAAAAGAAAGAAAGAAAGAAAAAAAAGAGTTAAGGTAGTACTAGTCCCTATTCTAGTTCAGTGAGGTTGGGTTGGATTTTTTTTTTCCCCAAACATTTTTACCCCAAAGGATTATAAGAAAAGACAATTGTGGAAGGGGTTAGCCTTCCTGCCATATTGCCCAGGTAGGCCATCATCAGTTCAATTGAACAAACATTTACTGATGCCTACTATGTGTAAAGTGCCGTGCTTGGCGCAATCAATAAACAAGTATTTATTGAGCCCTTATGATGTTTGCCATATGGGCAGAAGAGCTAGGGAAATACTCTGGGATGAGACAATAAATCCCAGTGACTTTTTTTCCCCAACAGAAAGCAAAGATTCATTGCTTTGGGTTTTCTTACTGGACATGTGAATAGCCCAGGAGGTACTGGTGCAAGCCAATAGATAGTCATTTCCCTCATTCCTGAATTTGGTCCACAGCATATTTCTGCAAAAACTGTAAAAATGTTTAAGGTATGTGGGAGCTAGGGGGCACGGTGGATAGAGCACCAGCCCTGTAGTCAGGAGGACCGGAGTTCAAATCCAGCCTCAGACACTTGACACTTATTAGCTGTGTGACCCTGGGCAAGTCACTTAACCCCGTTGCCTAGCCAAAAACAAAACAAAACAAAAAACCCCCAAAATGTTTGAGGCACTATTATGGCTGCTACTTGAGGCAGCCTATTCTTAAGGGGCTTACCATTTGGGGAGGCAAGGCATGACCACGTGGAAAGTTCACAAAAAGTTAAATAAAACACAGTATTACCCATCTTACTTTTTTTTTGCCCCTGTAAAGATCAAGAGACCACGTCTTCTCTCGGGATAATTGGACCAAATGGTGACAATGTACTAATTCAGATAATCTCCCTAACTCCCTTTAGCTTTACAAATCCCTTAGATGATCTGTCCTATACTTAATACTTGGGACCAAGAGAAATATCAGGGCACAAGGGACTCACTTGGCTTGATGCATTTAAATTCCCCAAGGAGACGGGTCCTTTGCAAATTCCCTGGGAACCAGAAACTAGCAGCTTATGTACTGAGAAGGTCTTTGTATTCTCACTTTTGGAAGAACAGGGAATATCTCTCTATTGTCCAGTTACTTTACCTTTTGATGAGACCTGTCCTTGAAATCCTTTGCCTCTCAGGAAGTAGTTGATCATTGTCCATAAAATCATAGGCTCCTAATTTTATCAACACAGCAACCAACCTTAAATCCAGAGGACTCGTGATTAAATATGTGTCATCCACCTCCACACAGAGAACTGATGGACTTAGAGAGTGGGAACGCGCGTGTGATGCACGCGCGCACACACACACACACACACAACGTGGCTAATGCAGGCATTTGTGATGCGTGCGCGCGCACACACACACACACACACACACACACACACACACACACACACAACGTGGCTAATGCAGGCATTTGTTTTCCTTGACTCTACATATTTGTAATGGGTTTTGTTTTTCTTTCCCAATAGATGGGGAGGAGGAAGTGGGGGTGGGGAGAGAATTCAGAAGTGAAAATAAAATTGAATTTTAAAAAATCATAAGTTCCTAGAATCAGCATTCATCTAGGGTCACAAGTATTTAGCAAGTGCTTACTATGCTTACTATGTCAGGCACTAAGCAAAGAGCTGAAGACATCACAGAAGGCAAAAGCACAGTCTCTTCCTTCAGGGAAAAAGTCCAGTGAGGGAAGCATGCAAATAGCTATGTACATACAAGATATAGAGAACAGGTAGAAGGTAATCTCAGAGGAAAGGGACTAGCAGTGGGGGGAAACAGGTAGCCCATCCCTTAACTCAAACATGAATCTCCTCTTCACCGTCAACTGGATATTTGGTACTAGGGAAGGAACCTTGCCTCTGGAGTCAGAGGGTTCAAGTCCTGCCTCTGAGGCTCACCGCCTGAGTGACCTTGGGCAAGTCATTTTACTTTCCTAGGCCTCTCTTTGCTTGTGAGGGGATTAGACTAGGTGGGCTTTGAAGTTCCTTCCAGCTTGGTCAGATGGTCATCAGACCACTTGAAAGCAGCTTATTTCAATTCTAGGCAGCTCTTCTGGTTTTACCCTCAAGGCCCAAGGGGAATAAACCCATTCCCATTTCCACATGACAAGCCTTGAAATGCTAAATATCACTACCTTCTGTTTTTTAAATTCAATTTTATTTTCAAGTCTGCATTCGTTCCCTTCCATCTCTTCCCACTCCCCCATTTTTGAGAAAGCAAGAAAAATAAAACCCCTATTAAAACATGGATAGCCAAGCAAAACAAATTTGGGATTGGGAAAGAAAAAGATGACAGATGAATAGAGCCTTGAAAGAAACTAGGGGATTCTAAGAGGCAGAAAGAAATGCAGGAGGCATTCCCCTCCATAAACTCTAAAATCCAGCTACTCTAGCATGCTCCCTCTTAGCTTCTTTAGCTTCCTTCAAGATTCAACTCAAATCCCACCTTTTGCAGGTCTTTTCTGGTCCCCCACAGGCTGCTAGTGCCTTCTGTCTGCTCTCTGTATCAAGTTATTTTCATGTTTGTTTCTCCCTCCCCCCACCTCTGTTAGACCGTTAGAATGTGAGATTTTTGAGGGAAAGGACTGGTTTGGTTTTTTTTGTCCCTTTCTTTGAACCCCTGGTGCTTAGCACAATGCCTGGCAAATAATAATCATTTAGTAAATGCTTATTGGCTGAATGACTGAACCACTATCTAGCCAACTCTTGTATTTTGTATTTGGGCATTCTATTTTTTAACTCAGATATAAGACTATAGATGAATACATTTTAAAATGTGTCATGTTTGATTTTGACCATTGTACCAGCTCATTAATTGGTTTCTGTCAAGGAGATTCACCCTTAAGTTGGCCAGATGGCCTCTAAGGTACAACCCTGTGAAAACAGGGAAAAAAAGTAAGGCTCAGGAAGGTTAAGTGATTTGTCCAGGGTCACAGAGGAAGTGAGTGGCAGAGCCAGATCTAGAGCTTAGGTTCCCTACCCCCAGTCTTTTTGTTACTCACTTGTGCTGACTCATTACATCTACTTTCTAAGCATGAATTTCCTTTCTTACTGGAGCAAAAAGGACATTTATAGTATAGTTCTTGAGCAAAATCATTGACTTGGATTTTTTCAGGTTTTCATTATACTAATAGGCTTAAATACAATTAAGAAAGCAGCTTTAGTAAACTCCTCCCCCTATAAAGCTTATAAATAAATTAAAAGCCACACTGACCAGTTGGTCAGGAGCTCCAACTCGGAGCTCAGATAGAGGCCAAGAGGTAGGGCCAGCTGGATACCTTTGTGTAAATCCCAGCTATTGGCTAATCTCTTCCAGATAAAAAATTCATGGCAACTTGTCCTTTTGGACAGGGTGACTGACTCCTAGAACTTTGATCTGGGATACTCGAGACCTAGTGTCAATTCAGTTTAATAAGTGTCAATCAGCCTACACATATTCAGTTCCTAGTATGTGCTAGGTAGTATTCTAGCTTCTAGAAATAGTAAGTACAGAGAGTAAAACTATTATTACTTGCCAAAGAGCTTACATTCTAGTGGAGGAGACATGAAGTACTCATATGGGGGGATGAGGGGAGGAGAAGCATTTATAGTGACTGCTGTGTGCTAAGTGCTTTACAAATATTGTCTCATTTGGTAAAAAAAAAAGTGTGTGTGTGTGTGTGTGTGTGTTGTGTGTGTGTAGAAATGCAAATGTGTACAAAGTAAGCACAAGGTAGTTTGGGAGGGAACACAGTAGCAATTATGGGGATCAGGAAAGCCTTTCTTCAGAAAATGGTGCTTGAGTAAGAAAGGGACATTATGTGGTGGAGGTAAGGAAGGAGTATGTTCCAAGCTTGAGGGATGGACAGCACAAAGATGGGAGGGTAGTTTTGTTTGAGAAACAGAGAAGACCAAGTTGGCTGGATTGCAGATTTGTACCCCTGATGCCTAGCACAGTACCTGAGGAATAAGAGAAATGTCCTTTGAGGCTGGAAAAATAGGTTGGGGTCAGATCATATATGGCTTTAAAATCAAAACAGAGGAATATATATTTTATCCTAGAGGCAACAGGTTACCACTGGAATTGGTTGAATGGAGTCACTTGGTCAGATCTGCACTTAAGGAAAATTATATTGGCAGCAGTGTATAAGAATCAGCTGTAATGGGGAGAGATTTGAGGCAAGGGAACCAATTGGGGGCAGTTGAAATAATTTAGGTGAGAGGAATGAGGGCCAGAACTAAGAAGATAGCTGGAGAGTGGGATCATGGCGGTGAGCAAGAGCAGGCACCTCACTGAAGGCGGCAAAAAAGGAGTCAAGAAGAAAGTGGTTGATCCATTTTCAAAGAAGGATTGGTATGATGTAAAAGCACCAGCTATGTTCAACATTTGCAATATTGGCAAGACACTGGGTACAAGGACCCAAGGAACAAAAATTGTCTCTGATGGTCTCAAGGGTCAAGTTTTTGAAGTGAGCCTTGCTGATCTGCAGAATCATAAGGTTGCTTTTCTTAAATTCAA